AATTCAATTTTATAATTTCCTACAAACTACAAAACAAAGCATTTTGTTACTGTGCATAAAATGACAATATGTCAATACCTCAAAATTCCGACGAAGAATCGAAGATAAAGTGATGAATCGTGATGAATAGGAAATGACAATACCTCAAATGTGGTTGCCACCAATGACCAGTACCATTTTCTTTCTGAAATCTAGCTTGCAAAGGCTTCAACTTCAATCAAGCTTCAACGTTTCTAGAATCAACGGGAGTATGAGAATGGAGATTTGAGATTCTAAAAGAGGCGGATGTATGACTATTAGGTTACAGGGTTGAGGTTTGGACTTTTGAATGGAATGGCATTATGGCAAATGGGTTTGAAGTTTTAGAGTTAAATTGTGTGGGGGCTAATTTTAAAAATTGAACTAAAAGTTTATCCATATAAGTGGGGGTAATTTTTACTTTGGGCCAAGCTATAATTTTTTCCCCACATAATTTATACATAAAAATGGTATCTGGGCTCTCCCTAAAATCCGCCCCTAACTCACCCCACTACGCACCTAGCACTTCCACCGATGTCACCACCTATCTCTTCATTTTTCTTACCAATTAAGAAATCAAGAATTAGATTTGATATTCTTACCTACAACAAACAATTGTGCAGCTACGATTTTGACCAAACCAACATACTATATACAACTCCCTAAATTATATATGTTGGGGCTAACCACCCACCCTCGGCTCTTATCACACCACCATAACTTAAACTCTACCCATTATCTAACTTATTAGAATACCATGTTTGCCCCTCGGGACACATCTCAATTGGTGGATCAATCAATATTTGTCTTACATCCAGCGGCAATTGAGGCATAACCTGCAATTTACCCCCTCCAAGGTTCTAGGGGCAAGGATTTTGGGGGGTCCAGGATTTAGTCTATTGTAAGCTGGGATATCTGGGTATTAAAAAAAAAAAAAAAAAAAAAAAAAAAAAGAATGCCATGTTCAACTTCCACTTTTTCAGTTGCTGAATTAAGAGTTTGCTTGAGTGTCACCTCATTTGATTTTACCTGGGAAGGTGAAATTCTCCAACTTTACAAAATTTGCATTGGCCTTTCTTTTTTTTTTTTCTTTTTTGGATATTAATATTTGGTGATCAATTGGTTTGTTAAAAAGAACAATCTTGAGTTGGAATTATATAGTAAAAGATTAAGTTGTTCTATATTGATTACAGAAATCAAATCCCATCAAGAAGCGGATCTAAGGCTTGATTTCTTCATTGGAAAGAAGATAAGGGGGTGGGTGGCGACGGTGACGGGATGACGCTAGGCGGACGATGGGGTGAGTTGTGATGGGTGGTTCTTGGTTTTGGTTTTGGAGGGTAGGTATGTGTATAGTGTGGAGGAGATGAAGTGTATTTGTTTTTAGTCTTTAATTTTAATTATTTTATTTTAATTGTTTTAGCATGAAAATATAAATTTACCATTTTAACCTTTTGAAATTAGTCAATATTTGGTCAAATAATTGACTTTTTGTCAGCTAATGAATGATCTAACAGAATTTGTCAAATTGGACTTCAGGTGCTAATTTTTGAAATGTTTGGTATCGTGGATCCTTACACATTAAAAGTTTGGATCAAGTCTGCATAAAAATTTAAGGTTTGGTACTGCAGTTGCAATTTTTCCTATTTTTATACAAAAAAAAATTACTACCATGGCGCACCTTGTTCTAAATGCGCCCATCACGTGCACATCCGTGCCAAGACGTCAATATGAGACAAGTCGATGAGCATACAAAAGCTCCTATCACAACAAACATGGATTAAACTTAAACACTATTCTATTCGAGTTTGCATTATTCTTTAATTGATATTCTCACTCAATTATTAAAAAAAAAAATTATTTTGTGGCCATTAAAATTGGTAATCCTGGTCAACGCAAAAGGCTAGGAGGGTGTCATGCAGTCACCGATGATGACAAATAAAGAAGAAGAAAGAGAGGTTATTAATATTCGTACGTTACGTTGCTAAAAATGGGCCCATAAGTCGTGATTAGGTGTCTTTAAAGTCGTTGACTCCAAGGAAAACTTGATCGCATCTAAGAGAAGGCGTCGTCACGAGGCAGTGCCGGGCCAAACGGGGCGGTGAAAATACTCACAGGCATTCAATTAAAAATAGTCAGCTTTACATTTTCCATTTTCAATGTGGGTCCCCTTACCACCTATATTAAGGCCCGTTTGATATACATTAATGTAAAAATAAGAATGAAAAATATAGTCGTTATCGAACTCACGAAAGAAATAGAAAGTCAAATATGGTGGTTTGGTGTGATGAATAACAGTCATATTTTTCATTTTAATAGGCAAATAATGAGAACCAAACGACAGCTAAATTCCTTTTCATTTCTATATTCATTTAGATTTGTTATTTGCCAAATTAATGTAATAACTCTTTCGTTTTAAAATGTTTAAAATCTTGTGTTGTTCAATTTTATGGAGTAT